CTGGGCTCTCTGGTGATCTCGGCTTCTCTTCGGCTTCTGCTGCTGCTTTCTCGGTTCTACTGCTGCTGCTGGCATCCCCGTGACACCACCCCCAAAAGCACAGTCTTAGCTCAGCTGAATCCCATCCACCTAGGCCCACACCCCACTCCAGGTGCCCGCCATCAGGCATGCACTCAGGACAAGGATCCATCATCTATCCTGATGGCGGAAGGGCAGAAAAGCCCGACATTTTCCTTACCCTACAGGCAGTGTCTTTGGCCTTGACCCCATGGGCCCTGGGGTCTGTCTGCAGCCGTCTGTCACCTACGCAGAGCACAAGCACACACACGTGTATATTTGCATGCTCACATCCTTGTTTCCTTGACATCCCCTTAGTTTTATTTGATTTCCGTGGCCTCCCTGAATCCTGAAGTTTGAAATTACTGGTACCAGGGTCGGTGGGACCTTGGTTACCCATGCATCCTTCAAGATGTGACCTGTGGGTGATAGTTACAAACGACCAGACCGGTCTCTTAGATAGACATTAACAAGTTTGTCTTTTCCCCTTTTCTTGCAATTTCCTCCTTGTTTGGACAGGTTTGTCTTTAGATAACAAGTCCTCCCGCATTTAAAGGAAGTGGGTGTTGAAGCAAGCTGGCGCCCTCCTGCTGACCCCTGACCCCTTCCCTTAAGAAGAAAAACAAGCTGGGCCCACCTGTCTCAGTGCTGACCCCTTTCCCTCCCCTTTGCAGACCCTCGCCCATCTCCACTTTTTTTTCCCTTTATATAAATACCCCTGCACTCTGCCAAAGAGCAGGGACGACAGTCTTTCAGCCATGAGTCTGCTGCCCTCCTCATTTGTCGACAAATTAAACCACTTTCCTTTTCCTCAAACTCTGTTTCCCTTTATTGGCTGAGGGAAACTGAGGCCCGCATTCGGTAACATGGGTGCGCTGGGACAGGGAACGCTGGCTCTTCACCGTGGCCTCTGTCTTCGGGAGCGCTAGGTGCTTGGTGGAACGACCTCGCAGAGGCGCAGCTCTTGACACCCACGCTGGCCAGGGCCAGAGTCCTTGCCTCCTCTCTGGCAGGGAAGAAGGTGTGGCTGCAGTTTGTCCTTTCCTGCTTTGGCAACTTGATAACTGCCCTTTAAACTAGTCTTCCTCCAACTCACAGGCAAGATGTGCGCTAGGGCTGCTGAATTAGAGTTCACCCCTCACCCCATGGGACAGGAGGAAGGGTTGAGGGGTGGGGAGATTGTTTCTATATTTGAGGCCGGAAAGGGGTGTTGACAAGGAAGAGAAAATAACAGGGACTGAAAGGGGGCGGGGTGTGGCCTGGGATTCTCAAGGCTCACTTGCCATCACTCAAGAGCTGTGATAAAAGATAAAGAAGTGGAGACTTGGCTTCACAAAACTTGGCTTTGCATAATGAAAATTAAATGAGAGCCCTATAAATACTCAGAGATTGAAAGTGGCCTCCTTTTAATGGAGCAAATCCCATTCATAAACATATAACCTCCATTGATAGATGCCTTATGAGGTGTCAGGCACACACTCTGCATTTCACGTGCATTATCTTATTGATACTGGGATTGTCAGGCCTAGTCTCTCAGCCAGAAACGGATCCCAGGCTGCAGGGCAGCGCTGAGCCCCAGCCGCTGGACCCCCACGGGTTGGTGTCTCACAAAGCCCAAAGCCGCAGCAGGAACTTCGCAGATGCTCAGGCAAGCAAGCAAGAAGAGGCAGGTTTGTTTAGAGAAAGAAAAAGTTTATTGAGGAGAAAAAGAACAGAAATAAAGTGGGACTCCAAGGCCATGAAACCAGGCCAGGGAGGGGCAAGGAAGCCAGAGTGGAGTCGTGTCTCAGGGAATACAGACCTTTTTTCCCTCACTATTCTAAAGCTCCACTGTCTCTTTGTGATTGGTTAGTTCTTCGAGGCTGTCTCACTTAATCTGGCAGGGGGTGGGGGGGGGGACACCTTCACATTCCTTATCTAACAGGTTTGTCTTTCCCTATTTGTTGCATCTTCCCCCTTGTTTGATAGATTTATCTTTATGACCCAGTCTCCCAGATGAGCACCCCTGTATTTTAGGGAAGAGAAAGTCAAACATCAGCTATTGAAGAAAAACAGGCTGGCGCCCACAGGTCTCTGTGCTGACCCCTTCCATCTCCCCCTTGCATAAATTTCCCTGCACTCTGTCAAAGGGCAGGTCGGTGGTCTTCCAGACATGAGTCTGCTGCCCTCCTAATTTGTCAACAAATTAAACCACTCTCCTTTTCCCAAACTCCACCTCCCTTTATTAGCTGAGGGAAACTGAGGCCAGCATTTGGTAACAATATTGACCTTAGTCCTGGGATGTTTATTATTCCCAGCAGAATTAGTTACATTCCTCTTGTTGCCCTTATCTCTGAAGACTTCCTTAATTCTCCTGAGGTCCCCACCTGCGCTGTCCTTGAGGCTGCCTAATTCTCCCTAACTTGCCCTCGGATTCATTATTATTTAAACTTCAGCTATGAGGTTGTTTGTCTTATGGTCCTATTTTGCACATAAGAAAACTGAAGGTCAGTCTCCTGCTCGAGTTCCCATGGCTACAAGGAGGCATCTGTCTCCTAACCCCTCTTCTCACTGAGTCTGGAGAAAGTGTTCAAAATCCTGTCCTGAACAAATAATTACAAAGATATCTGGTCCTCAGATCACCTGGGAGCTTGCTACAAAATGCAGGATCCTAAGCATGCCTCTCCCAAGCCTCCTGAGACAGACTGTGGGGGACTGGGGCCTGGGAATGGCCATAGTGACTGGTTCCCTGGGATTCTGGTGCACGCCAATTTCAAACTATCTGGACAACATCAGGCTGCAAGGGCACGTATGATCAGGTAGAGCTGCCTTCCCTGAGAACCCAAGGGAGTTCCCGGCTCCAGCCAGGTCGGGTGACTGAGAGGGATGGCTCTGGTGACCTCGGTGGCTCTGGTTGGTTATAGTCACTCTGTCCTGGCAGTTTGCTCAGAACAAGAGCTGACAGATGCCCTCAGCTCCAGTGCAGGCACAAAGGGCTATCTAGTTACCAGCAAGGTCACAGGGTGCCTGCGATGGAGGCTAAGAGCAGAGAATTTGGAACGGAGGCATCACAAGACCAGATATTGGCTCACACAAGGCCACCAAATGCTGGAGGTGGGGGTAGAAGTGTTAACACAGTTGTTAATCTAGCTGTTGAAATTAAAATTTTGGGCCTCTCTGGTGGCCCAGGAGTTATGTCTCATCTCTGTCAAGCTAGCAGCAGCCACTGCTGGCATGTGTTCAATCCCCAGCCAGGGAGGTGACCTACATGGCGCAGCAGACCTCTCCTGTCTTGCCCACTGCTTCCCTCAGCAGTGTATTTCAGTAGATCTGCCTGTTCTGCTCCCCACTCTGTCTCAGGTGAATACTCTCACCCTCCTCCCCTCTGGCCTGTACCCCAGTTCTTGTATGCATAAATACATAAAAACAAATCTTTTTTTTTTTTTTTTAAAGAAAACTCCTTACGCAACAACTGCTATGCAAGTATCAGCCTGCTAAGAAAGTATCCTGAGATGCAGGCCAGAGGTGGACATATAGAGATTGAGGGCCGTTGTAGGGAATCACTAGTACTTCCAAATCAACTTAGCCACACCCTAAAAGTAATTAATTTAACAAAAGTTTACAGCTCCACAAAGAAATGAGCCCCTCCCTACGAGAAGAAGACTAAAGCAGGGCAATTTGTGCACTGGCCAGGGGCAGCAGCCCACCTGCCCACCTGTGGAAGATGCAAGCATCTCTACTAAAAAACCTGTCCCTTTCAGGGGCAGCTTTTTGTGCCTGCTTGTGTCTATGCAATTGTCATTTACTCTTCTCTCCCTTTTTATAATAAACTTGCTCTTTTGGAAATAAATAAGTATCTGCCTTGTGGCAAAACTTGCCTGGGAAACTTGCCTTGTGCCACTGAAAGGGAAGCTCTGGTGAAACTTTCCCAGAGTTAACCCCAGGACCCCACTCTCTTCCCCAAACACCTCTTCAAACAGCAACAGGATGAAATCAGAGCTGAGGTCAAAGCCAAGGCCACCTGGCATGCTACTCCCAGCATAGGCCTTGCCCTTGGCCTTTGGGGCAGGAGGATGATCTCTTCATTCGAATAAGCTCATTTGTGACTTGCCTGTCTGGCCATGTCGGATCATGTGAGCTAGGTTTCCAGGACAATGAGCCCTGCTAAGAAGAGGGGGTTGAGACACAGGGCAAGCTAGGAATTAGGCAGTTTTAGGGACACTGCAGGAGGGGACCTCAGAGAATTGAGGAAGGCTTCAGAGATAAGGGCAGCAAGAGGAGTGTAACCAATTCCACCTGGAAAAACAAACATCCCAGGACCAAGGACAACATTGTTAACGCTGGCCTTGGTTTCCTTCAGGTGGTAAAGGGAGGCAGAGATTGGGGAAATGGAGAGTGGATTAATTTATGGACAACTTAAAAGGGCAGCTGTTTAACTTCAATGCAGAGATGCTCATCCGAGGATTGGGCCATAAAGATAAAGAAGTAACCAATGGGGAAAGAGAAAGCTGTTAGATAAGGAATGTGAAGATCCCCCACTCAGTAGCAAATTAAGTGAGACAGCCGAGAACTAACCAATCACAGAGAGACTGGTGGAGCTTTAGCATAATGAGGGAAAGGTCTATATTCCCTGAGACACGACTCCACTTTGGCTTCCTTGCCCCTCCCAGGCCTGGTTCCTTGGCCTGGGAGTCCCACTTTATTTCTGTTCTTTTTCTCCTCAATAAACTTTTTCTTTCTCTAAACAAACCTGCCTCTTCTCACTTGCTTGCCTGAGCGTCTGTGAAGTTCCTGCTGCGGCTTCGTGAGACACCAGCCCGTGGGGGTCTCGTGGCTGGGGCTCAGCGCTGCCCTGCAGCCTGGGATTCATGCCCGGTCGGGAGACTAGGCCTGACAATTCCGGTATCAGGGTGATAGAGCCTTTTTTTTTTTAAAGATTTATTTATTTATTTATTTATACCAGCACTGGGTACAGTCAGAAGCGCGGGAGGGTAAGAGAATTCACCAGAGCCAGAGCGGGGAACAGAACAGGCAGTGTGATGAAATACACTGCTGAGGGGAGCAGCAGGCGCAGCAGGAGAGGTCTGTCACGCCATGTGGGACCCTTGCCGGTGGCTGGGGATCGAACCGGCGCTGTAGAGGCTGCTGGCAGCTTTGCAGCCCAGCGCTCAACCACTGTGCCACCAGGGGAGGCCCTGATAGAGCCTTAGCAGCCTTGCCACCCTCCTCTAGTTCCAATAAGACATCTGAGAATTTAATTGAGAAGTTCGGGGAAAATGATTCCCCCTTTTAATTTTTATTTTATTTCTTCAGATGTTACCAAATTTCAAAAATCAGGCTATGGTCTATTTCTCTTATATCAAAGACACACTTGATATATTAAGGAAAATAAGCAAGGGGTGGAACTGTGTGCACGGTACGCTATATTCTGTACTGTACAAGGCAACATTGAGTGCTCACTTATGCATAGACTCTAGAAGAACACCGCAAGCTGGTAAGAGGGGTTACTTCTGAGCTAGGAAACTAGGGGGTGGAGGTCAGGTTGGGACATTCCTGTCGCTGCTTATTCTTTGGTACTGTTTGCATGATTATACATGTTCATTTCCTACTTGAGCAAAGAAATAATATGAGGGAAAACAAAACAAACATAAATGGTCACCATAGATGCTGGCAAACTGGCTGTTGCTAGATGCTGTATTGGTTTGTGGCCCAAAGATAACAAAATACTCAAACCCCTGTCAACCTTAGCCCCAGGACCTTTGTCACAATGGGTCCTCCCAGGAGCCCTTATACTGATCTTGGTGTCAAGCACAATGACTATGACCCTCAGGGCAGGCACATGTGGGGGCAGGGCACCTGGGCAGAGCCAGGGCGCAGAGGGAGGAAGGGTTTGGAGTGTGCAGGGAAGGAGAAGTACTGTACTGGTGATATAGTACGGGGTGGAAGCTGGCCTGGTGAGGCCGACATCATAAATCAGTAAGAGAAAACTTCACAGGTATCCAAACACTCTGGGCTCCTCCTCGATGGGAGCCCCTGTGGGATTTATACACAGATAGGACCAGGGTGGCTTGTAGTCAGAATGGAATTTCAAAATGACTCTGGTGGTTACAGAGTTGGAGGATAATTCAGAAACAGGGAGACCAGTGGGGTGTGGACTTTACCCTCCATCCCTGAGAGGTACAATGGTGACTTGACCTCAGACAGGAGAGAACATATCCCTAAAAGAGTCACTTGTCCAAACCGTGGAGTGCAGTTGGGGTCTTGGCATTTCTGGTCATTTCCAGTGGAAGAGGATCCCGTCCTGAAGATGAAGAACTGAGGTTCTTCCTCCTCCTGCAGCTTCTCTCACTGCAGAGGGACAGCAGTGGCAGTGACAGCTGATGGGACTCCAGCTCAGGATGTGAAGACCATCCCTTTGAACTGTAAAAGCCCCCAGTTACCTTTTGGGCAATTCAGAGGGGCATGAGCTCGAGAGGGTTCATAGAAGCCTCTCCTCCCTGTTTGGCGCAGGTCAGATTCAAGTTGAAAGATGAAAGCAGTTTTCTGAAGGCAGGAGCAGTTCACACTGGCAGAGCAGTTTTATTTCGAGTTAAGAAATGGTCAACAAAATGATACCCTTATATCTAGGAGCGGCGGCCCTTTCTTCCCTTCTTTGGAGAGATAGATTTTTTGCTGTTGGTGAAGGCCCTTGAAGGCCCTAGTTTAAATTCAACTGGAAAGTGGTCACTGACCTCAAGGGCCTGTAAAGAGAAATAGATTTGGGAATTAGAAGCAGCTCTCATTTTAGTGGGGAGTAAATTCAGCCTCCGGGAGGGAAGATGAAATGCCCAAGAGAACGCACACTGGTGAGCATCATTCCTGGACCAGCTCCATCAGAAATTTTACCAGGTCCTAGATTCTGAGACTCAAGACTCAATGGTCCAATGTTGTGGTGGACTCAAAAGGGTGACACTGACCATCCTCCCAAGACAATATGGCAGCCTTACCTTCTCTTCAGTCAACCCAAAAGCTTTCTGGAAGTCAAAGACACCGCTCGATTTGGGAACCACAGAGCTGACGATCTCTTGTCCTCTAAGCACGATCCTGGAGAAGAGAAGTTAAGACAGTCGTGTTAACCCACCCTATTGATTGCTGAGATGGAACTAAGGTCTATGTTTAACATGTGGAATTACTCAACAGACGGATCCTTTTCATGTGGTACTCAAAGTCCAGACCTGGCTCTAACTTGTGACCCTTAGGTTGGAAAATAGGATCAGTCTCTGCTGCAGCTTTGTAGCCCCAGGACAGTGTTTCCCTGTGAGATCAGGTGGCTCTCGTGCTGGAAGAGATTTCATGTAATACGGGCACCACATCACGCAGCAGTGACTTGCCTGCTAAGAATGTTGTTCAGTTGCATCACTTTTCTTATTTAATTATGGAGCAAGGTGCTGGTTTGTTTTTAATACCTCCCAAGTCCCATTTTGACCAAGTGAGAGCAGAGAGCAACCACCAAGCATTCTGCAGGCAAGAGAACTGAGGCAGACTTGATCGTTGTTCAGTTTTCATTGTGTTAGGGGGAAATGATGTCCTGAGTTAATCCCATGAAGGCTTTGTGGACCCCACCCCCACTCCAAACTAAAGCCGTCAAGACATTGGGAAAGACAAATCCCATCACCACCAAAGGGAGGGTGGCTGGGACCTGAGGGTGGAGTTGGGCAGCCAGGTTGGATATAAAAACCAAACACGTGGGCCTTGGGGTCTCTCTCTCTGGCTCGCGATCGCTCGCCTCCTGGCTCCATCCTGCTTCCTTCCTTAGTCTCTTCTGCTGCTTCTCCTCTTCCTGCTCAGCTCCACCCTCTCTTGGGTGGGGCAGGGAACCTCCCCCTTTCCTGGGGACCACCCTGTTACAATTGCACTTATTTTTACAGTTTTATTCAATTTATGGCAAATGATGCTGTTTCTTACCATAGTGTTATGAAGTTTCCTTTAAAAGTTAATTTACCTCAGTAAGAAATCAATGGATTTAAAGACAGATATACAGAAAAATCATAGTATAGTTACTTCACTGTGGTGACAAAAAATGGGAATGTGGTAATTAAATGAGTCTTGGAAACATGGACCCTAATGTGCCCCAGGCGGGGTGCAGCAGTTTGGGTCTAACAGTCTCCCCAACAGCCTGATGAAGACTAGCAAGGTGTGTAAACTCCCTTGTCTGACTCCCCGCTGAGCTGTCCTTGACTCCCACTGGCTGCTTTGGTTTCCTGTGTTTGCTACCAACATCCCCGGTTAACTTCTAACTCAGCCCCAGAGTTTACATTTCACATCAGGTTAGAGATTTGTTAAAGTCATCCTCTTGGACCCAGAGAGTCCAGATCAATAGAGTGAAGCCTTGGCATTTCTGACTTCTCCTTCCAGGCCTATGCCCAGGGGCCAGCAGGTCCCGTGAAGCTCTCCCGAGGCTGCTCTGGGGCACTGGCCAACCGCTGACGTCTCCCCACGACCACCAGCGCTCAGCCCTAGAGAAGCTCGGTAAATATTTGAACACGTGACAAAGATTGGAATTGGGACCCCTTATTAAATGTTTATTTTCCTTTTTAATAACCATACTAGATATGTGCTATTATGGAAAACAGGAAATTCAGTGCAGCAAAATTAGAAATTAATCCTTAAAAAATATGATGTAATCCCACCCCTTGGCATACATGTGTATAAAATCAGGGTCCTTTTAACCTGATGTCCATCCCACCTAAACTATTGTGAGCATCTTTCCTAGTGACTCAATGTTTTTCCACTTCATGGTTCTCCCTCTTTGCCAAGGGAGAAGGACGGATGGCAGAAAAGACTTGACCTGCCCAAGGTCATATGACTGGCAAGTGAGTGGACAAGTGGCCATCTCCAACCAGCTTTGCTGGCAGCCCCTTGAAACAGAGGGGGGGGGGGGCTAGGCCTGTGGGAGTTCAGTCTCCTGTAACTCCCACTTTGGTTCCGCCTTCCACCGTTTCCCCTTTTGAGAGTTGGGGTAATGACTTCTGCAAGAGACACACTAGCCCTGAAAGCTCCTAGAGGAACAAAAGAGGTCATGGTGAGGAAATAAAAGCCAGACCACAGAACTAGAGGTGTGAGAACGACCACTTTGCAGATAGCCATCTCTTCCCCAGCAAATGCTGAGCTCTGAGAACTGGAGCCACATGCAAGACAGGGCTTCTAGGGGTTTCCCTGCCTGTGGTCTCTGCTGGGAGATGGTACACCCTGAATAATCACGAGCTTCAGGCACTCCCACCACCACCTCCCTCCTGATTTAAGGAGCAAAGGTAAAAGCAGATTGAAAATCCCGAGGAACTTTACAAACACAAGGGATTGTCAGTATGGAAATGTGTGTATTTGCATTTAGGAATGTCTAGCAAAAGTTTGCAAAGAATAAATACCCTTGCACTGATCTCGCTTTTAGAGTTTTACTCTGAGGAATCATAATTACATGCACAAATGCATATCTAGAATGTTCGGTTTAGCAATGTTTTATTTTATTTTTTAAAGATTTATTTTATTTATTTATGCATACAAGAGCTGGAGTATAGGACAGAGGTATGAGAGAATTTACCTGAGACAGAGTGGGGAGCAGAACAGGCAGATCTACTGAAATACACTGCTGAGGGGAGCAGCAGGCGAGACAGGAGAGGTCTGCTGTGCCATGGGGGGTTTTGCTCCCTGGCTGGGGATCGAATTTATGCTACAGTGGCTGCTGATAGCTGCACAGTGCTGAGACTTAACCCCTGGCGTCACAGGGAGGCCCTTCAGCAGTGCTTTTAATGGCAAACCTTTGGTAACAACCTAATGCCCAGTGATGGGGGAGTGTGTGAGTAAACTGTGGTATTGTTGTGAAGGAACCATCAGCAGCCCATGAGTGTATTGAGCATTTACCCTAAGTCAGGAACAGCATTAAAATATTTACATGTTTCTTCCTGTGTAAATCCTCTTCATCTTTCTATGAATGAGGCACTACCACAATCTCCATTTTACAAGCAAGAAAGTGAAGACACAGAACACTTAAGTGCAGAGCTATGATTTGAATGCAGGGCTGTACGATACCAAAGCTTGAGCCTGTCCTTGCTAAGGTGCAGTGTCACCAGACAGCTCAGGGTCACCATAAAAGGTCATGTAGCTTGTATACTGCACACAGCACCCAGTGGAGGGGTCTGAAGTCCAATCTGCTCACCTTTCAAAGTCAAGCACTTTCAATGTCAGGGGCGCTTTTTCTAATGCATACCAAGCTCGGTGTGGGCAGGCGGGCGGGGTGCAGCCTCCTACCTGTCATAGGCGCATTTGGTACTTTTCTTCACTGTGGTGTCTTCATGGTCCGTGATCAGCCAAACAAACTTGGTGTCAGTCCTCAGGCGGATGTCTTTCCAGGCCTTTTTGGGGACATAGCTGCAGCCGGCATTGAAGTCGCCCATGAAAATGAAATTCTGAAAGGCATTGTTGCCATCACTGGTGGGCATTGTTGCCAAAAGATTTCACTCAGAACTTCTATCAGTGACTCCACCTCCACGTCCAGTAAACAGTGGGTTTTGTTACAGGCTAAATTGTGTTCCCCAGATTCATTATGTTGAAGTCCTAACCCCGATGCTTTAGACTGTGACAATCTGAGATAGAGCCTTTAAAAAGGCAGCGAAGGTAAAATGAGATTATATAAGGGGGGCCCCTAATCCAATGTGACTGCAGTCCTCATAAAATAGTGGGAGATTTGGACCCAGGGGGAAAACAAAGGAGAGAGGCCTTGGGAAAAACCACACCGGCTGACCCTTCATCTTGGACCCTTCATCTTGGACATGTAGCTTCCAGAACTGCGATGATATAAATTTCTCTTGTGTAAGTGACCCAGTCCTTGGTACTCTGCTATGGCAGCCCTAGCAAACGAATATAGGCTCTTTCTCAATTTTCTTTTGATTTTTTTAAGAAGAGGCTACTGTTGAAATTTGAGTCACAGTTTTGATAAGTATTTGACAGGCAAGTGTGTACAAGGGAGGGTGTTCTAGATGGAAAGGAGGGCGTTCACCATAGCTGCTGCCTCCTGTTCTTAGTTACTATGGCTCTCTAATCAGTGTGCACAGTTAAGGGGGGATAAAAGAATTCAGTTCATTTTTCCCTCACATCTTTTTTCTCTGACTGAAACTACTGTAAGATATAAATGAATGAACCAATACTTTTTGTTTCTGAGCAGGAAAAATGAACTTGGGTGTTGTCTGTGTCAGCTCTGGCACCGCTCTTTCTTGACTATTGTTTTGCACTTGGGGACTTATTTCTGTGACGAATCTATTAAGGAAGTGGGAGGAACCTAAGCTGCGGAGGTCCTGGAGTGACTTGCTCACCCTTCACCTCCAACCCTGAGGCCACCAGCAGAAACATTCTATCTTGGAAGTGTTTTTCCCTGCAGGGTTCTTGGAACAGAATTTTAATATTCCTTAATCCAGAGGAAATGTCAGATTTCCTTGTTTGTGTTATTGTTTGGGGCTGTTGCTGACTTTAGTGTTTTCTTCAAAAACATTTTATTTTGACCTCAATGACCATGGTTTTCCCTGAGATTGATAGACAGTTGAGGACAGAATGTCATTCTTAACCCTAGTGACCACCACTTTCTATGAATATCGGCACGACTGTGTGCCAAGCCCAGCACTAAGTGTTGAATACAGTTAATTGAAATTTCACAATAAATACCAGGAGGAAGAAGGGACCAGTAACCCTGTGGCCACAGGATATTGGGATTAAGTGACCTGCTCTGGCCACTCAACTGTAAGTTCACATGGTAAAGACAAGAAATGAACCCAAATCTGTCTCACTGAAGCTCCCTTAGCACAAGAGTTTCCCCTCTTGTTCATTTTTCTTCCACTAATGCCTCCCCAGAGCTTGATACTTAAGAGATGCTCAATAAATTCTTGTTGAATGAATGGGTGAATTCATAATTTTAGGAATGAATGAGTCTTTCCATTGTTCTGCTTTTTACAAATAAGCATTGAAATACACCCCCACGTTCTCCACACCCCAGCTCTGTGTCCACACGTTACTTGACTCATTTCGCACTTTGAGTAGCGGAACTGAGGAGGGGGAAGAGGGACCCCTAGAGTCATATCCAAAATGAGAAAAGAAATCAGAAGAGCTCTTCCATGTTTGCCGAGAGCTTTCATAGACCCGCACAGCCGCAGCGGGAGGCACAGTATCTGAGACCAACAGTGATGGTGGATGCATTTCCCGTTTGTGAGAGTAGCAGCTCGAGTTTCTTTATGCACCCAGTTTCCTCCTCCACATCAGCTGTGAGGCTGGAGTGGAGTCAACACAGACTTAGTCAATCAGAGCTTCTCAAAACTCCCAATCACAGTGATTGGTTCAAGGATGGACATGCAATAAGACACAATTGTGGTATTTGTTGCACTGTGGGGAAGAAAACTTGTCAATTGGCCTGGAAGCTACTAAAGGCCACTTTGCCATCCCACGGATGGAGCGGGCCTGAGAAGGAAGCCCATCTGGAGGAAATGAGGGTCAAAAGATGGGGGAAAAGAGTCAAGCCAAGCCCTGGCTACCTTGTTTGAACTGTGGGTCCAGCTATGCCTAAACTACTGTAGACATTGTCCTTACAGAGCCAACAAGTTGCTCTTCATTTTCATGAAGAGCAGTTTTCAAGAGCCAGTTTGAGATTCTATCACTTGTCACTGTGTGACTCCTAACCTCTGTCTCACTATTATCAGTTACAAAGTGAGCATGATAAATACAGCTGCCTCGTGGGGTTACTGGGAGGGCTGAAAAACTTGCCTGTGTCCCACCTCCCCACAGCGCCGGACACCAGCTGTGCATTCACACAGTGGGATGCGGCCGCTGTTACCATGGAGCCGCATGTGAATTCCCAAGACCCATGTGACAGTCCCCAAGCAGATGTGGTGAGAGGGAATTTTGGGCTGAGGAAAGGCCTAGAATGAGTATGTGGTGTTGGTCTGCTTGTGCCTTCCCCTTCCCTGGGAGTCGCTCACTCCTCTCAAGGTCCAGATTCCTCCCCTGCCTGATGCAAATTCAACAAACACAGAAGGTCTCACCTCCACGTTCCAGCTGCGTTTCACGTGCATGTAGACATCAACCAGCTCATCAATCTCTTTAACGGACGTCTCCGGGGTGGTGTGCAGGGGGACAATCACGAAATCCTTGACAGCTGGGGAACGGGATAGAGGTGGAGGTCACATACTAAGCCTGGCAAGACTCCAGGGACACTGCTCGAAGGAAAAGGCTGTCCTCCTAGAATATACAGACGTGTCATCTGGGTCTCCCCCGTCCAGAGCCGAGTCAGTGGCTGAGATTTGAACGATCTTAGTCATTAGGAGCTCGGGGCTAAATTCAGCACATGAAAGCCTCTTTTCTCCCACTTGCCCTTCATGGCTAAGAGAAACCTGCTCCTTGCTGGCATTGTGGGTGTTTTATTTTCTCAGTTTTGGAGGAGTATATTTTCTGTTTTTTAAAAATAATCAGCCTGTTGGGTTTTTGTGCTAAGGGGACAAGTTTTTCCTAATTGAAAAAAAATTAAGCCAGTTTATATTCTTTTTTGTAATCAATGAAAAAACCCCAGAAACATCATTCAAAAAATAAAAGTCTTTGTTGAAATATCTAAAACCTCTCCCTGCCAGGAGGGCCTGAGAGAACGTGAGTGTGGGGATGTGGGCGAGCTGGAGACTGGGGCCCACCTGCTAGCAGCCGCTGAACGCCTCCTCCCACTTCCCTTCATCTGTTCCCGGGTCCAGGCTCTCACTCTGGAGCCGGGGCCTGTTGTGTGGTCACCGCTCAACTCACAGAGTGGAGAGCCAGGACTCAGACCGGGCAGCCTATCTTCAGACCCCCACACTTACCCAACAGCTCCATTTCCTGCCCTCCTCATGCCTCCATCCACTCCCCCATCCTTCCCCTAAACATTCCTACCCCATTCCCAGTTCTGAACTTGTCTGTTCATGTGCCCTCCCCTTGGCATCCCCTTCCCCAGTCCTTTAGACTGGCTTCTCCAGATCACAGTCCAATGATACCTCCTAGGAAGGGGCCCTTCCTGGTCACCCCACTGAAGGTGGGTGAGCCTCACCCACCCTCACCCTGCTACTCAGCGCATCCTACCCACGTCTTCATGCTCCAGAATGACTTGTTTTGCACCTCGGAGCTCCAGCACCTAGCATAGCACTTGGCATGTTGAATGTCCTAAAAAAGTTTGTTGACTGAATGCACAAATGAAGGAATGAATGAATGATGAGTAAGTGAATGAATGTAAGAAAAGACAGAGCAATGGTTAACTCTTTCATCTTGTATCCCAGATCAACATAAGCAGATTTCCTTGAACTAGAGAAAACTCACTAACATGGCCTGGCTGTGTTGCATCCCACATGAGAGAGGGAGTGGTAAGGATGGGTGGGAGGGTAGAAGCAAGACAAACAGGTTTGTTTAGCAAGTCACAAAGAACAAGGACTCTCTTGGAGAAGAAATAATCATTTGGGGGGCAGGATAGTGGGAGGAGGGGTTTCTGAATACTACTTGGTCAGCCAAAGGTGAATCACGTGCCTGACAAAGAGGATTATTGTCTGCTCGCTCTGAAGGATATTTCGTAGCCTCAATAGCCACAATCTCCTTCTCTTTCTCTGTTGGTAATTTCCCCATTATTTGCGCATGCTTGTTTTCCTGAAGTACTCTGCCTCTGAGCTAGTTAATCCTGGGCAGAAATAGGTTAACTGTGTAGGATGTGAATATTTGTGTAGTATAAGATATAGGTGTACATCCTAACTACTCAGCATTTATGTATCTGTCTCCTCTATTACACATAATTCCATAAGGATAGAGACCTCTATTACACATAACTCCCTAAGGGTATTGATTCCATAAGGGTAGCGATTCCATAAGGGTACCTCTATAAAGGGTACCAGACAAGAGTGGTGCACAGGATAGAGTACGGCACATTGTAGCTACTGAAAAATAAAACATCTGACTCTATGTGGCTTCAATCTGCAAACCAAGTGTTTTCTTGACTTTCCACTGAGTAGTCATCACACAGAAGTTAAGAGCATGGGCTTACCTCCCTGGTTGGGCCACTTCAACAACTACTGAATAACCTTGGATAAATGAGGCTCAGCCTTTTGAACCTCACTTTCCTCAAATGTAAATTGGAGATAATCCTAGTTTCTACCTTATAGGGTCACGGCACAGATAAGAGGAGCCTGGCATTAATCAGAGATCCATTGTTGTTAGTAGCTAAAACTAGTACTATTGTTGTTAGCTTCAGAGTGCAATAATCTATTTCAATATCCTCTCTACCCCAAGTCTATGGAGGAGACTGCTATGTTGTTTCTGCAGGGAGAGTGAGGCTCCTGGTTGGGGGTTCGTCTTTGCTGGCCATCACTGGAATTTTTTTCAATGAAGGAATAGTTATGCTTGATAGGGCTGAGGAAGTAGGGTAAATAATTTCCATCAACCTGAATGTTCCATTGAGAATGAAGTTATCATTGATTCCAGAAGTTGGGTTCTAGGCTGGGGAGGTCTTGAGTTAAGGATTTATAGAAGCCAGTCTGGTGCCATCAGATTGTGCCCTCTATATTCACATAGTAGAAGTTCTTAAAGGCCATCTTAAGCCCAATGCCTCCCTAAAGAGGCTCCATAAATCCTGAGATTACAGCTCACACTTAGGGCTGCTGATCATGGATGAGAGAGGTTTGTGGGTCTCACCAGTGTGGGGTGACTGGAACCAGACCACAAAGGGTTCCCTGGAAAATACATCTACGTCTCCAGCCTGATTATCGTGATAGAGGTAGTGTTTCTTCACAGACACTAGTTTTTCCCTAGAAGAGAAAAAAACGAAGTCCTCTCAGTTTAGAAAGTTATCTTCTTGTTTTCTCAAGACAAAGGTAAGTTCCCATGGCCTCACTGACTTCCTAAACTGGCCTGACCAGGTTGAGTCAACTTTCTCAGTGGTCAGTGCTTTGGGAGTTGAAGATATATGAGCAGTACTAGTTATCTGGGGTCCCCACAAATTGATGTTGAGACTTCACAAATTACTAGTAGGAAGATGAAAATGTCAAGTTCCAGAGTCAACCATGCTCATCAACTCACTCACTTTTCCCTCCCTGGATCAGGACTTGAGTATGAGGAGTAAAGAACTCACAACTCAGGCCTCCCTGGTGGTGCAGGGGTTAGGTCTCAGCACTATCAAGCTATTGCCAGCCACTGTGGCCTGAGTTCTCTCCTGTTTTTCTTGTGCTGCTCCCCTCAGCAGGGTATTTCAGTGGATCTGCCTGTTCTGCTCCCCAGTCTGTCTCTGGTGAATCCTCTCACCCCCAGACCTCTGGCCTACACTTCAGTTCTTGCATGCATGCATAAATAAAAATCAATCTTTAAAAAAATTCATTTTTAAATCTTAAAAAAAGAACTCAACTCAAGCACCACTGAGTCAACAATAATATTAGGTGTTAGGAAGGTAACTCATGGGTCCTCCCTGGAGGCAGGGAGGGGGATTGAGCACAGCCCTGTGAGGCTGTCTGCGGCCTTTGCAGCATGAGTTCGATCCCTGGCCAGCTAGGGAGCAACCCACTTGGCGCAGCAGACCTCTCCTGTCTTGCCCGCTGCTTCCCTCAGCAGTGTATTTTGGTATGTCTGCCAGTTCTGCTCCCCGCTATCTCTGGTGAATCTTCTCAACCCCATCCCCCGCCCCCACCTGTGACTCTGGCCTGTACCTCACTTCTTAAAACAAAAGAGGAAGGTAACTCATATGTTCAAGTTGGAAAAGTCAATACTCTTACATTAGTTCCAATTTTGACAGTGATTATTGGTTCGATCTTGAGAACTGGTTAGAGATCAAAATTTGGTTTTGAAGAATAGATATATATTTTGTTCAAGTTATAGTCATTATTTATAAGTGGACCATGGTTCAGGAAGTGTAGATTATACTTACTTGTAGAGGAAGGCATACTGTTCCTTATATTTGTTTCTTCCAAGCCGATCACTAATCACATAGTTGTATGTTGTGCTTCTTGAATTTCTAGAACATAAAGATTTCACATTGCACCATAAAGAATAAACACTTCCCTACTCACAGTTTCCCTTCTCTCCAGTCTCCTTCCATATTCCCAATGACATCATGTAGGAGGCTACGCTTCATTATAAACTTGGAGACTATTAAGAAGGGCTCCTCCTATTGACTAGGAGTGTGATATTTGCCAGGATCTTTACAACCATTATTTCTTGTCTTTATAAGGCAGAATTATAGTTACCCACTATTTATGGTTTGCAAGTACAAAGCTAGCATTTGAACTCAGATGCTACTCATCCCAAACCCACAGGCCTACACCTGTGGGATCCAATTAAGAACAGAGACGATTCAGTCCAGCATTAGCCCCAAACTCCCTCTGGTAAAGGCTGGATGAAACCTCATACCTGCCGATGGTGCAAACCTTATCAAGTCACTCTGTCCATGCCCCATTCCTGAGCATTTATCATAAATAAGATTCCTAATAACATTTTCATTGGCATTCTCTTCTCTATAAGTCCCCAGATATTTTCTCACAAGTCCTGGAAGCATTTCAAATCAGCCCTCCTTGGAAGTTGGGGACAGAGTCATGAAGTCCCGCAGACTCTCCCCCTTACCTGTACCCCAAGAACTTGGCTGTGTTTGCCAGACCTGCTGATGGCTCCACCCTGGGCAGAGCCTGACACAGTTTCATTCCATCTGCCCACAAAAAGATCTAGGGCATGTCTAAAGATGCCCCATAGTCTCAGTTGGAAAAAAGCAGAGGGAGTTTTTAGGGGCCAACTAGAATCTATAGAAATTTCCTGGGACTTTAAATGCATACTCTAAGACAGATCCAGCCATTGGGGTCCCGGGAGTGTGGACAATGGATTCTGCTGGGCTACCTGTTTGGGAAGGCTAGGCCTGTTTTGAATTTAGCCTGCCTAGTCCTGAGTTGGCAAACTGCTTACAGTGACTCAGCTGTGAGGTGACTAAGGCCCCTCCTGGATTTCAGGGGCCAAACAGGTCTGACTGTTTGGAGTCCATGGCACAGTGTAGGTAGGTAGGGGAGCACCGAGAGCATTGGGGGTGTGAAGAAGACACACCCCTGACCAACTGTAGGAGGGTTTCTGGAGTTGCCTAGAGCCTCCCTGTCCCATAAATCCCCTATATTTCTGAAAATTGACTGTGCTCCAATTGACCTTACTCCAAGACTAAGGGGACTCAAAACAGAGCACTGGCTGGGAGTCAAATATCACCCAGGTTCAATGGTAGACTTGGTTACTTACTGACTGGGTGACCTTGGGCAGGTGCCTCATTTCTGAGCCTTAGTTCTCCCAGTTGTAAGGGAAGCAGTTATAGCACCTACCCCTCAGTAATATTACCTGCCCCACATAGTACCTCTCCCCGCTATAGTTACCCACCACCAACAGTTTACAGCATTCCTTCCAATCTTGCTTCCCATGCAAACTCAAACATACCCTTACTCAAGTAGAGTGTAAGATGATTAGTAAAGTGGGCAACTCTGGGCCTCCCCGGTGGCGCAACGGTTGAGCGCTGGGTTGCGAAGCTGCCTGCGGCCTCTGCGGCACCGGTTCCATCCCCAGCTGCTCCCCGGCCACCAGAGGAGGGACCCACATGGTGCACAGACCTCTCCTGCCACCCACTGCTCCCCTCAGCAGTGTACTTCAGTCCTTCTGCCTGCTCTGCTCCCCGCTCCCCGCTCTGGCTCTGGTGAGTTCTCTCACCCTCCCACGCTTCTGACTGTACCCAGTGCTTGTATAAACAAATAAATAAATAGATAGATAGATAGATAGATAGATAGATAGATAGATAGATAGATAGATAGATAGATAAATAAATCTTAAAAAAAAAAGTAGGCAACTCTATCTATAATTCTGAACTTGTTTTTTTCCAATATATTGCAGCCCCTTTACCCAAAGATGGAATATTTCATTTCTAACCTTTTCTAGTAAGCATGATTTTTAATGGGTACAGAATAGTCCTCTCTGCAGGCATAACATAATTTTTTATGTACACTGAATCTTTTCATTGCAACAGTACTTCTTAGTTCATTTCTTGCTTGTTTCTTTCATTTCTCTCTGTATTCTGACTCCTCACCTGTTTCCCCTATTTTTGCTCTATCGTATTAAAACTAGTTGGTTGAAAGTTCTCAGCACCGTGGCTGATAGAGTTGAAAGTCAGGGCAGTGCTGGCCACATAACCTGGTGGTAAGGGGAAGTGCTGGCTCTCACATGAATTTCATTCCACCAGGGCATTTCAGGTACACTTGAATTTGACCTTGAACCTGCAAAGGGTGAGGGCGGGGCTGTCTTTACCCATTCAGCTTCTCCATCAGCATGGGTCCAATTATGTTGTTACTGTCCTTGATTTCCATCAGGAGCATGATGTCACAGCGCTTGATGACCTATAAAGAGAGGGTTCCCACATGTTTGAGGTCATTTACTTCAGATGATAAGGCCTTTTATTGGGCACTTGCTATATTTTAAGTATCAGATTGGGTCTTTGTTCATGTAACTTCTTCCCTGAAGTAAGTGAAGTCTTCCTTGAGGTAGGTGCTATTGTGTTGTCTATTTTTTTTTTTAAGATTTATTTATGTATACAAGACCTGGGGTACAGGCCAGATGCACAGGAGGGCAAGAGAATTCACCAGAGACAGAGCAGGGAGCAGAACAGGCAGACAGACTGAAGACACTGCTGAGCGGAGCAGCGGGCGAGACAGGAGAGGTCTGCCACGCCATGTGGGACCCTCGCCGGCCTCCGGGATCGAACCAGCACTGCGGAGGCTGCAGACAGCTTCACAGCGCGTTGCTCAACCTGCTGTGCCACCGGGGAGGTCCTGTGTTGTCTATTTTAAAGACAAAAAGCTTGAGGCTCTAGGAAAGCTGGGTAAACTCCCCAAAGTCACCCGGTTGGAAAGTGGCCTGGCTGAGGCAGAAAATAAACCTAGACAATCTTAGTCTAGAACCCATAATCATGGTACCCTACACCCTACCTCTTCAATTTGCTTTAATACTTACAACAGTAATAATAAATATGTGTTAAGCCCTTAGTGAGAGGTACTAGGCTGGATACTGCAAAAATAAAGAGGTATAGAGCCTTCTTGGTGGCCTAGGGGTTAAGTTTCAGCGCGACCACCTTTTTGGCCTGAGTTTCATCCCTAGCCAGGGAAATAATCCACATATGGCACAGCAGACCTCTCCTGTCTGCTCCCCTCAGCAGTGTATTTCAGTAGATCTGCCTGTTCTGTTCCCCACTCTGTCTCTGGTGAATCCTCTCAACCCCACACCTCTGGCCTATACCCCAGTTCTTCTACACAAAAATAAATGAAAAAATCTTTTAAAAAATAAAGAAGTATAATTATAACAAGAGCTAAAATTTATTGGGTGCTTACTCTGAGCCTTATGAACCTTGTGAGATGACTACAATTATAAGCCCATTAAACAGAGGAGGAAACCAGGCTTAGAGCAACTGAGTAAGTAGGTGAAAGTATAGACGGCAGAGCCAAAATTGGAACTACGAGGTTGGTGGTGCATGTCTGGGAACAAAACTGACAAAAAGCCCCTGAAGCAGCCCAAGAAACAGGCCAAAGAAATAGATGAGGAAGATAAGGCATTCAGTCAGAAACAGAAAGAGTTGCAGAAGAAACTCTGGAAACCAGAAGTGAAAACTCAGGGGAAAGGCCCCCTAACCACAGGGAGAACTAAGAAATCTGGCAAAAAACTGTTCCTTATGCCTAAGGCAATAGTGATCCGTAATTCCATTCTTGTTTAAACATCTGGATTCCCTCTATAACATCTGTTGCTGCCAACAGCTAGAGTGAAGTGTCTTGGAACCTGTTATACATTTAAACATAAATTTTTATTTAAAAAATACACTAGCTGGGCCTCCCCGATGGCACAGCGGGTTGAGTGCCATGCTGTGAAGCTGTCCGCAGCCTTGGCAGTGCCAGTTTGATCCCAGCCAGCCGGCGGGCGAGAATCCCACATGGCACAGCAGACCTCTCCTGTCTCGCCTGCTGCTCCCCTCAGCAGTTTATTTCGTCAGTCTGCCTGTTCTGTTCCCCACTCTGTCTCTGGTGAATCCTCTCACCCTCCCGTGCCTCTGGCCTGTACCCCAGTTCTTGTGTGCATAAATAAATAAATCTTAAAAAAAATAAAGATTAATTTCATCCTCTCACACAGCCAAAAAAGACATGGAGCAACAGGATTATGCTACTGGCCCTATTTCCAGAGCATATGTTCTAGTTCCTTCTCTAGGAGGGGGAGCAGGGAGAGCTAACAGCACCATTTTGTGCAGCCTTTAAGAAGCTATCCAGATTAAAGAACTAGACATAAGACCTGAAACCATAAAATACATAGAAGGAAATATAGGCGAAACACTACGGGATTTGCACATCAAAGACATCTTTACAGACACATCACCCAAAGCAGTGATAGTGAAGACAAAGATAAACAGCTGGGACTACATCAAATTAAAGAGCTTCTGCACAGCAAAAGAGACAATAACAAAAACAAAGAGAAACCCCACCAACTGGGAGAACATTTTTGCACCCAACACTAATGATAAAGGACTGATCACAAAAATCTGCAAAGAGCTGATGAGACTCAGCAACAACAAAGAAAATAACCCAGTCAAAAAGTGGGCAGAAGAGCTAAAAAGAAACTTCTCTGAAGAGGAAATGCAAATGGCCAACAGACATATGAAAAAATGTTCAACATCACTTGTCATCAGGGAAATGCAAATCAAAACTACCATGAGATACCATCTCACACCAGTGAGAATGGCACATATTAAAAAAACTAGCAACAACAAATGTTGGCGAGGGTGTGGAGAAAAAGGAACTCTTCTGCACTGTTGGTGGGAGTGCAAACTGGTCCAACCACTATGGAGAGCTGTGTGGAGATTTCTGGGCCTACTAAACATAGAGCTTCCATATGATCCAGCAATTCCACTCCTAGGTATTTACCCAAAGGACACAGAAACATCAATTCCAAAGAGCACCTGCACCCCTATGTTTATAGCAGCACTGTTTACAATAGCTAAGCTTTGGAAACAACCCAAATGCCCAAAAGTAGATGACTGGATCAAGAAGATGTGGGACATATATACCATGGAATATTACTCAGCATTCAAAAAAGATAAACACATGCAATTTGCAGCAACATGGATGGCGCTGGAAGGGATCATGCTCAGCAAAATAAGCCAAAAAGAAAAAGAAAAATACCGGATGGTCTCACTCATAGCAGGAATCTAGAAAACTTAAATAAGGGACCAGGAAAATGAATATAAGAAAGTGAAAATCAAAATCAACAAAAAACTATGAACCAGAGATACTTTTTGGGGGGTGGGGGCGGGAGGGGAAGGATTGGGGTCAGAATGGGGCGTTTGCAATTGTATGGGGGAATATAAAAATAAAATTTAAGATTAAAAAAAAAAAAAAAAAAAAAAAAAAAAAGAAGCTATCCAGAGACAGAATGAGAAAATTATAGACCAATATCCCTGCTGAATATTGATGCAAAAATATTCAACAAAATACAAGCAAATTGAATTCAACAATATATTACAAAAACTATACATGATATCAAGTGGGTTTTATCCCACTTGATTCTCCCACTTGTGGGGAGGGGTGCCACTCACCAAGCCAGCCTGTTGATTTAGTCACGTGTGGTTGTAGGACTTTCTGCAAGGCATTGTAGCATATGTATTAATAGTCTTAAAAAATGTATTTACCTCTTGGTTCAGTTTTTCCACTTTGAGGAAGGTCTTCCATTTTAAGAAAATACCTATTATTTCTCTGCCTCAGTTTCTGTATTTACAAATTGGGATGGTGTAGTTTTTCCTTTACTAGGTTGCAGGAGAATTAAGTGGGTAAGTAAAGCAGTACTATATAGGAAGCACACAAGTAACTGTAACTATCATTGTTGCTTTTATTATTACTTGTACAGATCAGAAGGGAAGATGCCTTGCAACAATGACAAAAACAAAACTGAAAACAACCTAACTATCCCCAAAAAGGAAAGTATTAAATGAAATTGGTTGCAAACATAATATAGGGCATTATATGGCATCAAAAGTCAAGTTTTAAGAGTATTGACATGGAAAATTCTTCTAATATAAGAGCAATATGCAAAACCAGTGTCATAGGGTAGTCTCCATGCTGCAAAATTTTTGCAGATTAATGTGCTTATTTTTGCATAGAAAATGCCTGTAAGAAAATTACCCAAATATCAACAACTGTTATCTTCAAGTGACAGGATAATGGGTGATTCTTTTTCTTTCTTTATATGTTTCTATATTTTTAAAGTAGTCCACAGTGACTGTTTTCAGTTTAATAATATGAATTTATAAGTGCTAAATGTACAATTTAGAATATTAAAGTGTCATTTAAAAAAAAACTGCTTGATGAGGAAGAAATTGTCAGGGAGGAGATGATGGCCAGTATTTATTAAGGCTAACAGGTGTGATTCTGCTTACTTAACATAAGTTAAATGTGTTGTCTTATATAAAGTGCCTAATATGGTGCCTGGGACATAGTGAGGACTTTGTAAATGTTAGCTCTTCTCACTGACTCATTGGATGTTCATAATAACCCTGCAAGGAAGGTCCTCTTATTATCCCCATCACATAATGGAGACTTGGAGACTCCGTGAGGGTAAATCATTCAAACATCAGTGAATATGGGATAATGGGATTTACACTGCAGAGCCCCTTCTTGATCTGTGCACTCAACTATCTGGGTGTTCCTGTGACTACTCCTCAGAAAAGACAAAGGTCCCCCTTTCGAGTGTGAGCCTTCAGTGCAGGACAAATATGACCCAGGAATTCAGATCCCCTTTCCTGAGTTGAAGAGCTGAGCCTCCAGATTCCCACTTATAACCCCTTTGCCTATGGAACAACCACCCCCACACCCCACTGCAGCAGCAGTTATTGATTCCCACTTCTTTCGAACAGTCTCCTCCATACCTCTGGGAATATTCATACAGACTGGGATCTCCCTACGGTGAACAATGACTCAGGGTCCCATTGTCACATTCTCCTGGGAATGAAACCTACAACTTTATCAGATTGCCTTTCAACAATACATCCTCCCTCCCACATGTCTATCCATTTGTTGGTTCATCCAGCCAATAAAATTTTACCAAGGGTCTGCTGTGTGCCAGATGAAATGCTAGACCTTGCTTTATTCATGACTTTATGTCCAACTCCTGGCATTGCAAACCCAAAGGTGGAGAAGGCAGGCTTCCCTCACTCTCCAGCCTCCCCAGCAAACCATGACAACAGCATGATAATGCTCTACTCGTCACGTAGTGTGAAAAGAGTAGAAAAGGCATCTCCATTTAAACGATTAGTTTATATAGTTGGTGTCCATCCTGGCTCTTCCCCTTAGCTATAGAAACCCGGGTAAGTCACTTCACCATTCTGAGTCTCAGTCTGCTCAGTTATAAAGTGGGGATGGTGCTACCTATATCATAATATTAAATAACAATATAAAATCCCTGACATATAGAAGGTGCTCACACCCTATAAATACTGCTGTCCTTCATGCCTGGGATTCGGTTTCATTGTAGGTGCTCTGGGTGACTTTGGTTGTGAATTGGGATGGTCTTTGTTTATAGGATGATTTTGCAGTGTTGGGAAGTAAGGAGGCCTTGAGAAAGACCAGACATGCTTGCTGTCTGGGGTGATGAGCGGTCTATCAGTGGGCCCCCAGGACACAGCACCTCAGGAGTGTGCTGAGTGTTGGCCCTTGTACTGGTTCACCAGGGAACACTAAGACAGCTTCTAAAGATGGAGGTGACAGTTCCCAGGTGGAATAAGTGTGGAAGGTGATGGGAACTCTGTAAGTGTCCATGCTCCAGGGGCCCATGCGTGAGGAAGAGGGGAAAATTGTTTCCTTGCATGTTGGAGTTTCCTGTTGAGCTAGAGAGTCAGGGTTCCCACAGGCTTGGCCTGGCTTTCCTGGATAAACAATATCTAGAAGGCCTTGGGTACCATCCAGAGGGCAGAGCCAACTAGGGAGGGGACTGTCTAAAGTTACAACAAAGCGAGTCAGTACTCGCTCTAATCCACTTGGCCTGGTAACAACAGCAACAGCTCTGCAGAGGATCGCCTGCCTTGTCACAGGCTTTGCTGAGGGCCTGATGCCCCTGAGCTCTCTCACTCCCCTAGAACCACGGCTTGGATAAGACCCACGATACGCCGTTTTCCTGGAGACTCAGGGAGGAGAAGACACCTGTTGCGAGCTCGCTCAAGGGCTGCCAGAGGAAATCTGAACCCAGGGCTTTTGGCATTCCCACCATACTATGGTGCCTCCAGGGTTTTTGAAGGTACTAATACCCAGTCGTGGGAAAGGGTTTGAGCAACTAGCTTCAAAAAGAAATCAGCCTATAGGGTAAAGAGAGTCCACTAACTCTGGAGAACTGTGAGCAGACTAATCCCATCATCTAAGGAAGGTCTTGTCTACATGGAGAGGAAGATTACAATTGGGAGTTGCGAGAAGGTTGATGGGACCCAGGGGTGGGGGCGTGGGGAAGGGAAGGATGAAGCAGAGAGAAGATGAGAAAAGAAAGGCGCAAATTCTGTGCTGTATGTACAGATAAGACTGGGCTGGCGTCCCTGTCACCCCCACAGCCACCCACCTGCTGTAAGTCACTTCACTTTTTATTGTTCATCATTTCTACATGTGGATAATAAGCCTCCTTCCCAAGGGTGATGAAAGGAAATTATGTATTTATGTCTGACACCGGCATTCAATAAATGGTGAAAAGAATTATAGCACTAGTCGGCCCTCACCCAGAACTTACTCCAAGCCAGAAACTGTTTTAGGGGCTTGACATTTACTAATTCACATACTCCCCCCAAAATTCTGAAGGAGGTACTGCTTTTATCCCCATTTTAAGATGATGACAAGAAGCTTAGAGAAGCAACAGCTATTTCATCTCTTACTCTTGTTTTTGTTACAACTCTAAGCCAGCTGCCACCGTCACCCTGCTTCAGCCCACTCATTTAACTCATGAGTTCAATTCCTTGAGTCTTTTAAAACCTGAAAGCAGCAGAGAGAGCTCTAGGGGAGGCCAACGACCCTCCAAACAGGAAAGAGACTCACCTTGACGATGACATCCATGACTTCCCCATTGCCCTTCTTGGCTTCTCCGAAGGACCTCACATTGAAGGAGCAGATCGTTAGGGCCTGAGTGGCCTGCGTGCTGCTGATGCACAGCAGGAGAAGCAGCAGGGAGGCCAGTGGCTGAGACATCTTTTGCTCCTCTGCTCTTCTGGCCTCAGGGCTTAGGAAGGACCTTGGTTGCTGGTTACCTCCTCAGACTCGCTGCCTTATATAGCATGCAAATAACAGGAATTACTGGATTGCTCTCAGCTTCTTTCACTTTTTTGAGGAACTGAAGGTCTTAGGTTTCATTCCCCAGAGAAATGAATGAAATAAGGCAGCCTTTTAGGGGTCACTGGCCTTCCTAATTTAGACAACATCCCTTGCAAAATCTTTTATCTCTCAATTGTGACATGTTATCTCTTCTGTGGTTTCTTGTTAGGTGCCTTTTCCTGATAATGGATGAACTTGAAAGTGGTCCATTCCAGAGGGCACTTGAGGTGATGGTTCCTTCTCTGGCACAGCAAGGCAGGGGCAGGGGAAAGTTTGGTGTGTTTTCTGCCATTTGGCAGCCAGCTGTGCTGACATGTGCAGTTTCTAACTCTAAGCCCTCTGATGGGTGTGATTAAGTCAGTTCTACTTATGTTTCTTGATTTTTAAGTTGGTTTTCCTAGATACAATTTCACACACTAAATTCTAGCAGTGTGTTGTCAGGGAGAGAAGTGCTGGTCTCTAAGAACAGGTCCTTAAAACATCCCTGGACTTTAAGAACAAGGAGCCAGTGAAGCTCCTGGAGAGAGCACAGTTTCCCTTTTTGGAAGAGTCTTTTGGTCCTGACAAAGGAAGATTTTGTAAGAATTATAGGATTTCAGCCTCAGTAAAATGACTTTTTGAGATTTGAGTGGGAAGATATGAAAATCTGAAATGCAGAAGAAATATAAAATCCAATTAGATGATAAAACTGGGTGAGATTTGCAGACTTTGGCGAGGAAAATTCTTCTGTGAATGAAGAGAGAAGTATTGAGAGTAACCTGAAGTCAGTGTTGGGGGGCTCTGGATAACCCCTCTTAAAGTGAAGGGTGGTGCTGGACCCAAGGGAAAAGCATGCATATACTTACATGCAGTCAGCATCTCCACAAAAATCTCTGGCCAAGAGTGTCTAGGCATTCTAAGGACATAATCCCAAATAATACAGAGAAGGAAATAGTGATTTCCTGAACTCCTGATGAGTGAAACTCCCTATTGTCTTCAGCCCAGACTTCAGGCCTCACTGAATCTGTTGATAAGTTACTTTGCTTAGCTGGGCAAAAGGAAGCATCTTCCAACCAGAGGATGATTTAGAATTAAGTGTGGTACATTTTTTGTTTGTATTTTAAAAAGGAATTTGTGCCTATGTGCTATTTTATCAACTTGTAACATATGACAGATTTGGACCTGTTAAATTGGCAATCTTGTAACTCCAACAGAAAATACACAATTGGGAGGATTGATTTAGATTCATGACTTTGACTTACTAGGTTTACATATAGTTCTGGAGCATTTATAAGAATTTTGGGTTATAAGTTTATAAGTTTAATTTTTAATTGATAAGTTTAATTTCTTAAACTTATTCAGGACTTTGTTTTTTATTTATTTATTTATTTATTTATTTATTTATTTATTTATTTATTTATTTTAAGATTTCTTTCTTTATGCATACAAGAGCTGGGGTGCAGCCTAGAGGTGTGGGGTATGAGAGGATTCACCAGAGACAGAGTGGGGAACAGAACAGGTAGATCCGCCAAAATACATTGCTGAGGGGAGCAGCGGGCGAGACAGGAGAGGTCTGCCGCGCCATGTGGGTCAGCTCCCTGGTCAGGGATTGAACTTGTGCAGCAGTGGCTGCAGATTGCTTCATAGTGCTGAGATTTAGCCCCTTGTGCCACCAGGGAGGCCCTATTCAGGACTTTAAAAGGGTGCTTTTTCTGCTAGTACTGTATTGAAGAACGTTATGAGGAAGTAAGATATATTAAATGTGTAAAAGAAGTTTAAAGTGATTGCAATTAAATTAAACAATTAAATAATTAAATAATTGAAAGTTATTGTTTAATTCCTGGATGTAGAGTTGCCAGATTTAGAAAAGACAAAGTATTTTTCTTACAACTTACTTAATATGAAGTATTATGTAAAACTAAAGTTTACATAATTCAAATTTAATTGGGCAACCTATGTTTTATCTGGCCATGCTAGCTGCATTTGTAAAAAAGAGTATGAATTTTTATAAACTAAACTTAAAAGCACAATATTTTCTAAGGCAATAACCATGCTATCAGGATCCTGAAAGATTTCAGTTCTTGCATCAAAAATAAACTAGTCTGGGCCTCCCCGGTGGCGCAGGAGTTGAGCGCTGGGTTGCGAAGCTGCCCGCGGCCTCTGCGGCTCCGGTTCGATTCCCGGCTGCAACCCGTCCACCAGAGGAAGGTCCCGCATGGCGCGCAGACCTCTCCTGCCGCCCGCTGCTCCCCTCAGCAGTGTACTTGGGTCCTTCTGCCTGCTCTGCTCCCCGCTCTGGCTCTGGTGAATTCTCTCACCCTCCCGCGCTTCTGACTGTACCCAGTGCATGTATAAACAAAACAAACAAACAAACAAACAAATAAACAAAATAAATTTAAAAAACATGCCTCTATAAGAAAAAAAACAAAACAAAACAAAAATAAACTAGTCTACAGGATAAGAGAATCAACTAATCAGCTTGTTTTTTTAATTTTAAAGTTTGATAATTTGAATATTCATTTGAAAAATAAAGTCAACCTCTTAATAGTGGTTTCTGCTATAGAAACTCCCCTTGAGGACTAAAAAAAAAAATCATATGAACAGACTGAAGAGATTGACCCCATTCTATAATTAGTGTATTCATTGCATGGAAACAAACTAAAAAAAAAAAAATTACCTGGTTTTTGGAAGGAAGATGCTAAGAGTCAAATTTAACTAATCCAAACAGGTGTGTGTGCAGGGGGGTGATCTACTGAGTGCTCTGTTTTATCCCAGGCAGTGCTCCCCAGCTCCTGCTATGCTCCCTCCATTTTACTGAGGCTTGTGCCAGGGATAACAGCCAGCACGTGGCAGAAATGGGACTCGAATCCAGTTACTTTGACCCCAGACCAGCCTTCTCTACCACCAAACCAGGTGTTAAAACTTCTTAAGAAGAAATGCTGAGTGGGCGTTGGGAAGGACTTCCACTTTTTACATTACGCTCTGGGATATTTGATAGATTTTTTAATAAAAATATGACTAGTCAGTAATTAAAAAGATAGAGAAATGTGAGGGGTCCTGCCATCAGGGCAGGCTGATTACCTCACACTGTGGGGCCGAAGAAACTGCCTCACACTGTAGGACCGAAGACCCCCTGTGCCTCACATCTTGGGGCTGAAGACTTCTGGTGCCTCACACTGTGGGGCTGAAGATTGTGCCATAACCCACATATGTTTCTTACTTTTTGTTCTTGGCCACAGAAGCAAATAGTCTATTTTGATTGTAGTACATAACAATTAAAGTTCAGGTTAGGGCCTCCCTGGTGGCGCAGCAGTTGAGTGCTGGGCTGCGAAGCTGCCCGCAGCCTCTGCAGCGCTGGTTCGATTCCCGGCCGCCAGCGAGGGTCCCACATGGCGTGCAGACTTCTCCTGCCTCGCCTGCTGCTCCCCTCAGCAGTGTATTTCGTCAGTCTGCTTGTTCTGCTTCCTGCTCTGCCTCTGGTGAATTCTCTCACCTTCCCACGCTTTTGACTATACCCAGTGCTTGTATAAATAAATAAATAAATCTTTAAAAAAAATAAAGTTCAGGTTAAACATTGATTTGGGCTATGGCACACTGGAGGAGACTAGGTGGGTGAGCATGCTCAACAAAGCACACTGAGAATTTGTTTTAAGCTCCTGACCCTTATACCTCTTAGAAGTTTTGGTTGAAAATTGATTTAGGAGAATGAGAGTCTGGCAAACAGGAGACACTACTGACTGATAACGCTGCTGACTCCATGCTGCCGACTCCCAACTGGAGGCTATAAAGATATAGATACTCTTTGATGTCACAACTTTAGCGAAAGGATATGCACTGATGATTATCCCCTGTTTTTATTTATTTATTTATTTATTTATTTAGGTTTATTTATTTATTTATACATGCACTGGGTACAGTCAGAAGTGCAGGAGGGTGAGAGAATTCACCAGAGCCAGAGCGGGGAGAACAGGCAGACTGACGAAATACACTGCTGAGGGGAGCAGCGGGCGCAGCAGGAGAGGTCTGCATGCCATGTGGGACCCTCCCCAGTGGCTGGGGATCAAACCAGCACTGCAGAGGCTGCGGGCAGCTTCGCAGCCCAGCGCTCAACCACTGCGCCACCAGGGAGGCCCTATGCCCTATTTTAAATGATTGATTAAGCCAGTAATGAAGTTAATTATAATTCCTTTATCTATTAACCCTAAAGGGGACCTTTTCTTTAGAGTGCACGTAAGCACCAGATGTCCATGGGAAAGGAATGTACTGATTGTCTCTGCTTTGCTTCAATGCATATACTGATGTTATCTCACGCTTGCCTTAATGTATAAATTAAGACCCGCTGAGACCCTCAGCAGGAGATACTAGCATGAAACACTTGTGTCTGTGTCTTCCTCACTCTCTCTCTCTGATTGCGCCGTCCCATCCTTCAGGAACCCCTGACACCCAGGCTGCTGCAGCTGGCTCACGGCAGAGAAAAAGTACTAAAAGCTCTGTAGATTTTTAAGCAGGTCAAACAATTCCCATGTCAACATGTCTACATCTTTGTGTGCAGCTACGCCAAGGGCAGCTCGCACCCAGGCCCTGGGGTCACCATATGGTGGAGGGATGGAGTGACCCGTCAGGACAGGCTGCCTTGGGAAAACCCTCACTCATCCCTCTGTTGGGCCTGACCTGCACTGATCACAATGTGGCGTCCCACCTTCTGCCACCCCGTGGCTGTGGATGACGTTTCCTGGGGCATGTACTTCCAAACTCTGGCCTGCAAGATGCTCCTGAAAGAAGATAAATATACAGCACTCCTTTTGGAAGATTTATAATGCACATCAGCATATTAAAAGTCCTATAATAAAGAAAGCTGCTTAACTCTGTTGAAACAGGGTGCCCTGAATTTATCATCCCTGCAACCCTTTTCTCCATGTAATCCCTTTTACTATCTTGGGCAATGTCCACCTTTGGAAATACCATCCTGATGGGGCAGGGACAATCAGATACTCTCAAAGCCTTAAGTTCTTGTCTTTTTCAATAAGAAGAGTCCCAAGTA